GACTGCACTCGTGGCTTGGTGATGGGAATAAAAGTAAAGGAATAAGAAAAATATTGTATTTATGTTTACAATAATAACATATTCTGGTGATAAGGTTTGAATTTCATGTTGCAACGTACTGTTTAGATGTGCATTATGCTACAATAATTTGTTTCCCTTTTATTGTTATCTCTCGACTTTTCTTTAGAACCAGTCTTCTATTATCTTTTAATACATTGCTACCTACCGTATCATGTTACAAATTTCTACATTAAATACAATGATTTTGACCTGACATTACTAGTGTAGGGGCATTCAACGCGAAGCCAAAAATATAAAATTTTTAGAAGCATATTCGAATAATTTTTTTTATCATGAGTTGGAGTAATGCTAGTAATCCCCACTACCGTAGTCGTCCTACTTGACATACAGGTGAGGTTGTGATTTGGTGCATTAATATGATAGTTTTTTATTATCTCATGTATCAAATCATTAATTGCCACATGTATGCACGTAAGACGACTGTAGTAGTAAACGACTGCAAATAACATTCTTCAGTTGGTTGTCATAATAAAAATGCTATTCCAAAATCTAATAAAAATGGAATCATTCTAGCTTTATAACTCTATGGAGGAATGATAATTTAAATTGAGATATTTCATTGTTATTTACTTATTTTTGTATGTTTTATTTATACTAATTCAATTATTAAATGTATACATAATTTTGATTTATATTTACAGATTCTCTAATGGGTCGAACTAAAATTTATTTCTAATGGATTTAGAGATATTTATAGACTCAAAATTCATAAAAATCTATTACAATTAGCAAAATCTTTAGAAAAATGAATGATCCAACAATGAGTATCATATTCATTTTATGCTGAACATGGATGGATTGTGCTTGTTTAGCAATGGTTCAGGCATTGGGTTGCTCATGTTTGACTATTGGTCAAGCATCAATTTTGTTCTATTAGAACCTCGTGTTGGTCTTTTATTTAAAAAAAAAAAAAAAAAGGGAAGAAAAGAAAAGAAACCTGTGATACTTTCTAGTTGTTAGTTGCTTTGTTTCTCTATAGAAAAACTCCAATATCTTGCAAAGAATTTTTTTAATATTAATTAAGAAAACAAAAAATGTCTTGTTGTTTTCCTTTGTTTATTATTTTTAAGCAAAAATATTTATCAAAAAAAAAAAAAAAAGGTACTCTTCGACAAAAGTTAGTCCCCAAAATATTGTGCTGTGAAATAAAATGTTAGGAGAACAATTAATGATAACTGGAGAACAGCATTTTCGACATTCACTATCTCTTAATGAACTCATGCTTTACTTGAACAAATTGAGGATTTGTTCTCACAAATGAATCAATCATGTGTTATTTCCATGCCCAAATATCTCTTCACTAATAACGGCATTGGCCTCGGATGAGCTATTAAAGCATGCACATGTTGCTATAAAAGTGACAATTGCTTCTTGTCTGAGTGAAATATTCCAAGTTACTGCACAGTGTCCTAATATAGCGATGAGAAAATGAAGAATATCTTTCAATTAAGTGTATCATCATTTACATTTCTCTCTTAAAAATCCATCATATTGTACGGTAAGGGAGCCGCCGTTGTTCTAGACCTGTGAGATTCTATTCTGTATCTTGTTTTAGGTTTAGGTTTAGATATTTGAGACTATGACTAATGTAAGTTATCGTGTCATCATGTTGAACCTAAATTGTGAACAAATGATATTTGATATGTTCCAACTTTTTCTTTTATCCTTAAAGAAACTCATCTAGTCAATATCTTCACATCCATGAAGATAATTATGACTCTTATATTGAACTATTTCTTCAAAATTGATTACCCTCCTTAGTGTGAAAAATAACATGGAAGTTTTTTTCCTTTTGCAATGTTTTTGGTAGAGAGGCTTTTTGAGAAGTCCACTGTCATGATCAAACCTTATTTGACATAGTCTATAAAAGTTTTAAGGCTTTGTTTATACGATTATAGTGCAGTTGTTTCCTTCCTTTGCACATAGGCTAATAATACTATTGAGTGGAATATCGACATCACAAATGGAGACAAGTTGGTTGCCGAGCATGAGGGCTTTTGATACAATTAACAATGATATAGTTGAGGAATTACCTTCGTTGTTGTCACCTAAGTCAAATAGCTCACATGTTCTTGATCTTCTGCTAATATTATTATTTTCTACTCCTTTACGTCACTTCCACATTGACTTTGTTATGGTGTTACCTCAACTGAATGATACTTCTCGGGTTGTCACATTTTTATCCCAAGCAATTATACGTTTGCATATTTTTCTATCAATATTCGATTGTTGTCTATTAACTGTCGTGACATTATTTTAGCTCCAAACTTAGATATCATATTTTCTAGTGTTCATGCCAAAATTAAAAGATAAATTATTTTACATCATGAAATTTATGAGCTTTCTTTTGATGCTCAATATAGGCTCAAATACTTTAATGATGAATTTTATACTTTACTACGTTTTTTCTTGAATCACTCACATAAAGATAATCTCTTTGGTCGGCCATCACACTATAATCAAAGTTATTTTGCTTCCTTATGAGGGTATATTCCTAGCATTGATGTTTCAATCATTTGTTTCTGCAGGTCAATCTACGGTGCTAGTTCGCTGTGCTCATTATATGAAGTTAATTGGTGTTTTATGGATGAATTGCACCATTTACTGCTTTTAGGAGTTTGCTATTGGTATTTGGTCTATCAGAAAGATCTTGTCCATGGCATGAGTTAAATTGTATGTTATTGTCAAGTGTTCAATACTTATAATTGATCAGGACAAAATATCAATCTCCTTGAAGAATAAAATTACAATTTATTTAGCTGCAGTCGAGTTCTCTTAGTAGATATATTATTTAATTTACTTTTCCAAATTAGATACCTATCTTAGACAACGTCATTAGGATTTTATTTAATAGAGTTTCTAGTATTTCACTAGTTGTTTACTTTCACATTTGATACTCATTTTAGAAAACGTAATTAGGATTTTATTTAATAATTTCTATTGTTTTCTTACTTAAACTAGACAAATTTAAATGTAAAGGGAGCTTATTAATTGTAATAGTCAGATTTTGATATTGAATAAATTGATATTTTCTTCCTCTAAATTCTCTTTGCTCTCTCCCTCTTCTCTTCTCTCTTCTTTCTTTTTCAAACTCGTTCTTGTTTAATTATATTCTACGTTTGAAAGATGGAAACCTAATTACACTTATCGCAATGTCGAAAACCTTCGCTGCAATCTACCTTTTCATGTCAACCTATTAAGAACAGAATTGTTTACGTGTTTACAAATGTTAAATTTTTAGTGGATCATCCAAAAACTGATCATAGGGCCAGCTTTCAGTGACAGAATAAAAAGCGACCTTACTTTACTTTCAAGGATATTATTGATACTAAAATATCTGTTTCTTTTTGTTTTTCATATTATAATAAAGAGATAGAAACAGCCAATAATGACACTAATATTCAACTTATAGAAATAGGTGGGCAACATAATTGTACTAACTTGTTTTAAAAGATTTATCTAAGCTGCAGCCTACAGCAATAAAGAACTACTTCATAAATATTTGGACCGTTTTAGTCATAAAGATTTGGACAATTTAGATAGCCCTATTCGAGTCGCATTTTTTCGTCAAAATGCGTTTTTAAATAATGATTTGATTACATAACACCATTTTAAAATGTATTTTTGAAAAAAAAAAAAAAAAAAGGAAGCGGGGGGGGGGGGGGGGGGCAAAAACNGGGGGGGGGGGGGGGGGGGGGGCTCAAACAACCCCAATAAAAGTTACTAATATATCCAAAGAACATATCAAAATTCAATCGATACAATTCTAAGTTACTGAACAAAAATTCTATATAATTTTATTGATACCGCTGGATTATATTTTACATTAGATGAAGGTATTTTAAGAATCCATAAGAGATATAATACTTGATGAATTTACCAACGGTTTGTATTCAAATCTACATGCCTCCTATTCGAAAAAGAATTAAGCTACTCGAAAAGTTTTTTGACATATTCTTTGATAGATGCTGAGGTAACATGCATCTCAATCTTTGATTTGAATAAAACGCTAGCTATATGCATGTGAACGGCTCAAGAGTAGAAAGATTCTCGTTCTAGGACCTTGTTTTATGAAATTCAAATTAAGAGTTGAGGTGCATGGCACCTCAATATCTGTCGAAGCAACTATCAAAACACCCATGTACAAGTAGTTTAATTCTTCGAAAAAGGGAAGAAAAGAAAGATGAAAGGTCTATGCAGTAGCCACATTTACGTAAATAAAGCCCATGTTTGGCCCCATTTTTAAAATTCATTTTTTCCACCACACTTATTTTCAATCACCAATTTCATAATACTTTTGTTAACTTTTTAACCACACGCTTTATCTTTTATCAAAATCTAAAAAAATATATGATTTTTATCAAAATCAAATAGGGGCAAAAATATATTTTGCAAATTCTTTATTTGAAACCTATGAAGTTATTTGTGAAAATAGTATCAGCCTTGGTACAGTCAGTGATATAGTTTGGAAAAATTTTAAAAAAAAAAAAAAAAGGGAAAGAAAGAAAGAAAAAGAAAACACAACATTCATTCAATTGTTGCCACCCATCCTGTCACCCCATTTTCTGTCAATAACCCTAGCCAAGCAGCATTATTTCAATAGTTTAATGTTGTATGTATTTTTTATTTATGCAAAGTAAACTAAAATTTATATAAAAGAACTAATTTTGGAGAGAGAGAGAATAGGCAAAAGAGCCCTGCTAGAAAATAGAAATCCTTGGGCGCCAGGAAATCTAGGGCCCATGTGGCCCTGGATGGGCCCTGGATGAGGAGACTTATTGTCGGCAAAAAGGCCAAAGTGGGCCCAACCAGTCCTTATCCGCCAAAAAATATCTGGCTGACATTGGGCCAAGATATTATCAGGCATTCTGACGTGGCACATCAAACACTTGTGAAAAGTGTTTCCATGTGGATCATTTGCTGGCCCCCTACCTAGACTCCCCCGCTCTCCCCCTTTATTTTTGCGAGATCTTTTCTATGTTTCGTATTTCTTCGGCTAATTTTGAGATTTTTTTTTGGGAAATTTATTAAGCATTCTGTCAGCCGGTGAATAGAAGAAAAATTCAGGCCGGCGGCGACTTCTACGATGACAGAGTTTCTGGCAAATGAGTTGACTCGGTTGAACTCCGACGCATCTTCTTTGACTGCTGAGAATTCGGAAGATATTGTGCATCAATCACCGGTAATCTGTGATATCTTTTTATTTCAGTATCTCTCCGCTTCTTACCGTATGCACACATGTACATTTGTATTCTTATTTTTATCTTTTCCTGTTTTTAGTTTTATTTTTTGTGTGGTGGCTGGCTTGATGCAGTGATATAAATAAATTAAATTGGCTTGAGACCTTAAAAGTTAAGATCCTGTGCATGATAATTTACTTGCGTTCATAGGTCGATGTAGTTTAATTAGATTTGAGGGGAAAAAAAAAGAAAAAAGAAAAAAGAAAAAAAAACCCTGAACTTCGATGCTTTCTTACCATCTGTGTGTGTTCTAGCTGGCGAGAACGGAGTGGATTTAACGTAGCCTTAAAAATCAAAAGAAGGAAAAACAACTAAGAGTCAATTTTTACTTTTTTTAAGATGTTAACGTATAGGGCTGTGTTCATTCATAACTTTGTTTGATTGTGGCTTGATGGAAGATTAAAGCTTGTTCCAATGGTACAGAAAGAATCCAGATCACCATTCCGTTCGTTGGATATGGGTTTAATGAACTCAAATACCTTTGGGTTTTGGACTGTCAGCGTGAGGAGTGGTGTTACCGGTTACTGCTGTTAATTGCTGAGATAAAAACGCAAAGGCATTCCCCTTCAATTTTGACCAGTTGTGAAATTTGGTCAGGTTTTAGGAAAGTTTGCTTGTTAGCTGAACGTTTGAGGCGCAGGAGTTATTAGGTCTACTATTATTTAATAGAATTTCACAATATATTTGTCTGAAAATGTCAATGATAAGGAGGATTGTGTCAAAGTTTTTATTGCTGTATGGTTTTGTCTCGTGGTGCTTTGTTTTGATCATGATCATGCATAATTTTGCATGAGCTAACAGTATGTTGTTACATTATGTAAGAATTAAATGCCGAGTTTCCATTAGCTCTGCACTTAAAGACCAAAAACCAGGCAACCTGTTGAGGGATTTGGGATTTACTGAGAAGGCTCCACTAAAGGATATTGATACTTAGCCTTTTTTTCTCCTAAGGAAGGAAAACATAGATTTGCTCTCACCGATATGGTGAATTTGTATACCCTGTGCCATAAGTGCATTTTCAGGAAAGCATTCAAAATGGTCTGGAGAAGTGGTCCAGTTGTAGCTAAAGCAGAAGCTCTTAAATTCTTATTTAAACAAGTGCCTTTTTGGCAGTTTGCATGCTTTAATATAAGCATCCATTGACCTCATTGCTTCCATATTGGGAAGATCTGGTTCACAGGACTATACCATTACGTTATATGGTAATGTTAAAAAGGATATATGCCAAAACTTTTCTATATATGCAGTAGTGTTTTACAAACTAATTTTATTTTCTATGAAGTCTGTATATATTAGGGAAGAAATTTTTCTCAGCTTCCATTCTTTTTCCAGGATAACCCTACAACATGGACAAATGAGAAGCACAATTTGTATCTTGATCATTTGGAAGTGTCATTTGTTAGACAGTTGCAACAATCAATGGGTTTGCTTGCATCATGCTCCGAGCTGAACAAGAGTGAGAAACATCTATCTCAAAAACGGCATGCTGATGTCCGTATTTCTTCTCATCAGGTTGAGGAACTCATTTGATTCCACATTACTTGTTCTAAATTTGTTGTATTTTCTTTCTTAAATGCATGTCTAACTGCATATTCTTGAAAAACAGAAGTTGATTCATGTCATGTTCTTTATCAGTTAACTGTTTTACTGGATGGCTGTTGGCAAAAGATCAACTATGGAAGGGGTCAACCTTTCTTGTCTACTTCAGCTGATGCTAGTGATGCTCTTAAGTGTCCACGGGTACAATGGTTTGGACGTACGTGTCCCCCTGCATCAGCTGCTTCGCAAGAATGTCTGGTACTCTGTAGTACAGAGAAACACATAGCTGTGGAAGGGATCAGATCTCAGGGATTGAGAACATGTCCACACCAAATTCCAGCTAGTAACCTATATACTGGTGATATATCTGACTTCATGATATGTGATTTGAACTCAACCTCGTGCTTGACTTATTCCTTGTTCATATTACACCTAACTTTTGGGTAGGAGACTTTGTTTAAAATTCCGTTGCATGCTGAGTTTGCTTCGTAATTGAGATGAGTTATCTGTTATTTTTCTGTCCTTTGATATTGGGAATGTGAAGACTTCCATTTCCTTCAAAAGAGCTCCTGTATTATTTGCTTATTGGATGTTGCAAACCTGCAAAAGCACTGTTTTCCTATCACACACATCAATTCTCATGGATTATCTGCAGATGCATACTCCAGTACTACTTCTATTATTTGCTGCCTTCCTTCATTGCCTTCCCATCCTACATAGATCTTGATACAAACGTGCTATTTTTCGGCATGTATTCTTTGAAAAGATTGTCGTGTTCCTTAAGTATAGTTTTCCAAACTGTCTCATTATATTTTCAGGTATGAATTAGCATATACATAATCATGTATTATATGGATAACATAGTACATCCATCTTATTACTGGATTAGTTTATTTTTATGATGCTAGGATCTGCTTTAAGAAGTTGTTGTTTGCATGTTCCTGTTACCTTTCTTGATGAAAGTAATATCATGCTGGCGTTGGCCAATTTTTAGGCTTGATCTAAACCTTTGCCTTTTTTTTTTGCCAGAATTTCATGATACACTAAAATTAAAGTACTCATGAAAATGAAGAAAAGGTGGATTTTGAACAAATGACAACTCAGTAAGGATAGCCATATTGTAGTTGAAATACTGAGTCGCCATATGTCAAGAATGACTGATTTACACATATTACTGAACCCCATTGCATAAATTCTAGATTTTGTTATTCAGTGAAGATGCACGAGGATTTTTTATTTGTTTATGTTAAGTCTTGTAAACTCGACTTTCCCACTTTGATCCTTGCTTCCCGAATAAAACTTACAGGAAATTAAAAACAGGAAAGGTGCTCCAATCATTTGCTCAATGCTTAAAAGCTTATGAATGCACTTGCTTGAATTTTGGTTTACTACCACAAGTAACATTGTTGCAATCAAGATAATGTTGTGTGGACAAAGAATGATTTAGAAATTTCCCTTAATGATGTTTACTTGCTCTGAAGGATTAAAATTTCTCCTTTTTGGATATCATACTTCCATACACAATGTTAATGGTGCTTACTTTCTCTGAAGGGTTCAATCTTGTGCGAATATTCATTTTTATACGTTCTATTATAAATTATTGATTTTTCCCCCTTGTTTTTGGATTTTGCAGAGTATACGGGTCAGAATTTTGCGGATGGAGACGGTCAAAATAACTCAAACAATGAGTCTCGGGCCAAAAGGTTGAAGACAGCTTTAGCAGATAATTCAAACCATGATCAAGTAATGTATAGAATTTATTTTCTTTCGGCAACTGTCATATGTTTACTAGATTATTATGCATTGTGTTTCTGTGAAGATATCATCTTGATTCCTGCATGTGCTCTTTCAGATAGTGCCATCTTGGAAATGTCCTATGACATAGAATTCCGCTATTGATGGAGGAGAACCTGGACTTCGCATATCTGAAAACTTTGAGAGCTTTGTTTATCCTCTAACATGATTTAATTTCAAATATCTTGCTTCATGTACATCAAATTTTGCATCAAGTTTGACACACTGTCTTGTGTCGATTCGTGATCAAATATATGTATAATATTTATTGGCAAGTGGTACATGATTTTTCGAAAGGTTTGGCATCAGATTTCTAGAGTTAATGAGCATTCTTGGATTTGAAGGTAAGAATGAAGAGGATCTATTTAAGGGGCATTTTATGTATTTTGGTCTTTGGTGATTATTTAATTGGAGATGGTGGAGTCGGAATAATGCAACGAGCAAGATTATCAATTGAACAGCGGGTAAAGTATCAACTACTTATGAATTACTCCATTTTTTGCCCTAAATAAAAGTTTAGGACAAACTTAATTGGCTGTGTTAACACTAAAATAGTAGTTTTAACTTTTTCTTAGGCTCCTAATCCGTTTGCTCAAACCTTACCTAAAAGGCTAAAATGGCCATACTGTATAATAGCAAGTAGAGAGATGTAACGTGTAGGCATTCTGTACAAAGTGGCAGAATTTCATTGGATTCTGTTCAAAAAAAGATTTAAATAGTCAATTAAATCTCGTCGAAGCTTTCTGGCATTGCTATATTATAGTATACTATTGTGTATTCTACAAAAGAAAGATAAAGGGAACAATGGAGAAGAAAGGGAATTTGGCATAAATGGTCCCTAGTATTTTTCTTCAATGCCAAATAATGCCCTTAATTTGAATTTGGAAAAAATGCAGTTGGGTCCATATTCTTTGCAAAAAGTGCAAATAGATTCATAATCTTCGGAAGAAGTTCAAATGAGTTTCGAATCTTTATTTATTATTCTTTAGTTTAGTGTACTAAAGAAATCAGAATTTTCAGTAGGAAAAAATAAATCATCATGCATTAAGTGTACGTAATTGCTTCACAATATGACAAATTTGAAAATTTAAATATACATAAATAATATAACGATTCATATAATTTTACAACATTCAACAGCCAAAATTTCTTCATTAATGGGGAACAACGGCAATGGTCCCACACCTTCCCTCGTCTCCCATTCCAATTAATAGATTTATATTTATATAATAATTAATAATATTTTAGTTTAATTTAAAATAAATTTATAAACGAGCATTGGGAGTTTTATGTCCTCGCCCTAACCCTGAATAAGCAGGGAATGCGATCTTGTCCTGTTGCCATTTTGTTGAGAAGAGAGACATGGATGAACTCATCATCTAATTGATTGTGTTGTTTTTCTCTTGAGATTCTTCATATTGTGCAGTTATGATCGTTATTGAAGAAATATCACGTGACGATACTCTTTTATTTAAATTCAAATTCAATTAGATACGATACTATATATTTACATATTATATGATTGGAAAATATATTTTCTATCTTGAATCATTATATGTGGATAACTCATGTTATTGTTGTATGTTAATTGTAATTTCAACCCGTTCGCATAAAAAACAAGGGATCATTTTTGCACTGAAAACAAAGATTGAGGACCATTTTACGCCAAATTCCCGAGAAGAGAACTGAAAGAATGAATATTCGGAAAATTCAGTCACAATGTTTTGCAAATTCACCATCTAATGGAGGCGGGGACTCGCATATAAAAAATCATTACAAAACAAAAACGGAGCTCCTTTCAGTTGTTTCCTCTTCACTCTAAACTCATCACAAAACCCTCATTACATGATTCACTGCACTCTGCAAAAGGGTTCTGTTATTTAATATTGAGTTTCCAGAATTATCTGGAGCTTCAAATTCTATGGGTACCACGAATCAGAGGCAGAATCCACGACCCGAAGCATCATTTTCCGACCCACAATTTCCATCCACATCATCGTTCTCACCAAACAAGAAATGTACCCTTGTTGTGTTAGGGGAGATCGCATTTTTGTGCCGGCTCGATATGGCGAAGAACGTCCACCTGGTTAACACGTGGGCTGACTCGTTCTACCAGTTCACCAGGTCGACGACGTCGTCTTGGTCAACGGTTTCTTTGGCAGATGAAGCTTGGTACGGCCTTGGTGGCGGCGGGCTTAACGATCCAGGCTTCGGGCTGGAAGACAGGTGTGAGGCGTTGTTGGAGGAGGAGGATTCTGTTCCTTATTCTAGAGATTTTAAGAAAGAGCTCATTTTTGTAAATGGAATTGACGAGTTATGTATCTATAAATATTTCAAAGTTAGACCAAATTTTCGTATTCTGCAGTAATATTTATGGCTTGTTTAATTAAATTCTTCTTAAACTTTTTGGGAATTCTGGAGATGTGCATAATAATGTGGACTTGAAAGCTTTTATTGTTGATTAATTGCCATTGATATATGACAATTACTCTTCGATTTAGGCACTGTTGATTAATTGTCATGGATGTATAACAATCACTCTTCAATTTATGGATGTTTATCGTTTTCATTTCACATGACATATGTACTTGCAGTTGTTGCAGAGAAGACTGATCCTTCCATAGTGTACTCCCCTACCTATACACGGCAACCGAAGTCGAGCATACATACGACAATCTTCATGCGTGAGGAAGGAAAGAAAGGGCGGTAGATGATAATGAGAAAAGGCACCGCGTCTGGATGGGTGGGGGAATGGATATGTTATTATTACAAGTCCATTGATGGGGACAAAGAAACTAGACTCATTAATGACAATGACACATTCCTTTCTGACATCTTTGGGCTATTTATGGTAGAATGATCAACGTGATCATAATTAAATTGACCATTGAATAGCAAATCTTAACTTGCTTTCTTGAATTTGGGTTCATTGTCATTCAAGCCTTTTCTTCTACTCGGTTATCTATAAGTTTGTAATGGGACTTCTTTTGGTGGCTTTCTTGTGGAATATTTACACTTTTTGACTCCTCTAACATGTTTTTTTAGGAGCGGAAGACCTGTGCTGTGGGATGTAAGTTTGGATTTGATACTGGTAAGAAGCCTGATGCTGCATTTGGGCTCCCTCAGCAACCTGGCGCTGCTAGTGTGATTCGCTCAATGGAGTCAGCCAAATATTATGCTGAGAATAGCATTGATATGGCACGACGGTGGGTAAGCACTCTTTAGTGACTTAGTGTGTTTGACATTAAACTTGATTCATCCAACAAAAGTCTTATCTGATATATATTGGGGATTGGGAATCAGGAGTTATTATGCTTTTAGGTAAATGTACTGACAGGAAACATTAGTTGCTCAGTACCTTTCCCTTAGATATTATCCTCTCAATTTAGATAAATCAACTACAGGGACAAGAACACTTACAGAGATAAATACGTCAAACAAAAGGAAACAGAAAGCGACTTTTCCATTTCTCCCATTTTTTTCCCGCTAGAGGAGCTAAATGCTGAGCTATTAAGCTAGTTCTTGTATTTCATATCACATCTCATACATCAACCTTTCCAGCATTGTATTAAAAAAATATCTTATAGATGTTCACCCCAAATATGGCCATTTGGCCCATTTGAAACAAACAGTTAAAATCTGGTTTTAAATTGGATCCTAGTTTAATTATTATTGAAGATTTGGAGATATGATTATAGAATAAAACCCTAGATCCTACTGCCAACGTTAAATCAATTTGTTTAATTTATTGAAGTTGTAGGTCTTTTATAGTATCTTTTACGTTGTAGGTCACAAAAAGGATAACCAAGATAATGTTGCAATAACATAAAAATATCTTCAACCTATGTTTTAGCAAATTTGAAGGTTTACCAGTCGCACCCTTGGTCATTGTAGTCTCTTTACAGATTTATTGTTAAGCTAATAACGTTATTCTTTTGTGTGTGTGTGTTAGGAGGAGATATGATGTTGTTATGACAACTAGTCTTTCATCAGATGTTCCCGTGGGATATTTCTCTTGGGCTGAGTATGATTTAATGGCTCCAGTGCAGCCAAAAACTGAAAGTGCTCTTGCAGCCCCCTTCATTTCCAATTGTGGTTCTTGCAACTTCCGCTTGCAAGCTTTGATTGGACTTTAGAAAGCGAACGTTGAAATTGATTCTTACGGTGGTTGTCATAGGAACCGTGATGGAAGAGGTGAGTATATTAGCTTTTGTTTAGAGATGAAGAAAATCAATGGAAATGCTATATGGCATGTATAGATGCAAGGATAATGTAGAATTTTCTTCACATTTAGAGAGTCTTCAATGTTCTAGATCAATTTATGTGTGCATGGTTGTTCTATATTGATCTTTGATTTGTAACTGCGGTGGCAAATAAATTTATATATATGGTTATATTGATCTTTTACTCTAGTTGATGCATCTCATGTGTATCTGTATGACATAGCTGGACTCATTTGACATCTTTTCTTTGCACTTACTTGCAGTGGCCAAAGTACAAACTTTGAAGCACTACAAATTTAGCTTGGCTTTTGAGAATTCAAATGAGGAGGATTATGTCACCGAAATTTTTTTCCAGCATCTCGTAGCTGGTATTATAATTTATTTCTTCTTGTTCCTCTCTCTATTGTGGATGAGCTAATTGATTTTAAGCTTGCTCTGGTGTATCATTTTGTTTTTATTTTCTCCTGGTTGTTAAGTTCATGATAGATTTTGTCCAAAATTTTACCTTCCTCTTTTTGGTATTACATTTCTGGTTTTCTGGTGCTCATTTGTTTGGTTCAGACTGTCTAACATAGTTTTCAAAGAAATAAAAGCAAGAATATACTGTCTATATAATGTCTGTTTGTTCGTGAGATTTCCAATGCTTTTTACCCAAGAGAAGTTGAAATGGCTGAATATTTTGATTAAAATTTTTATTCAAATCAAAACATCCAAGATGGAATTTTTTTATGATGCTATTATTTAATGAGGGGAATGTACAAAAATTATAGGTTCTATCCCTGTGGTCATTGGTGCACCTAATATCCAAGACTCTGCTCCTTCTTTGGGTTCGCTATTGCATGTCAGGGAGCTAAAAGATGTTGATTCAGTTGCCAAGACCATGAAATATCTTGCTGAAAATCCCAGTGCATACGAGTCATTAAGGTTAACAGTAAACTGATGACTTTGCCACTTTTTGGTCGCACTATTTCCTGTCGCACTATTTCCAGCAATTTTACAGAAATAAGTTTGTTGGTGAATGTCAAGGTCTAGCTCAAGTGTTAGAGCAAAGCCTACTAGGCAAATGACCTGGGTTCTTTTTACAAGGGGAGGGTAGAGATCATTTGATCCTTAAAAAAAAAAGAAATGAGTTTGTTTGTGTTCTTTTTTCCTTGTCTGCTTATGTTTCCAAGAGTTCCATACTTGTTTTTACATATCATTATTTATTTGCTATTTGAATTTTCTTCATGGGAATAGAAGGAGAAATTTTCTACGTTTAGAGGGCCTCGTCTCAATTGGATTCTCTCCATTCAGGTGGAAGTTTGAAGGGCCTTCTGATTCTTTTAAGGCCCTTGTTGATATGGCAGCAGTTCACTCATCTTGTCGTTTGTGCATTTATTTGGCTACAAAGATCCAAGAGAAAGACGAGGAGAGTCCAGAATTTAGAAAACGCCCCTGCAAGTGTACAAGTGGCTCTAGGACTACATATCACATTTATGCAAGGACAAGAAGGAGGTTTGAGATGGAGTCCATTTTCTTAAGGTATTTAGAGTACAACTGTACATGACAGCTGTTTTATGGATTTATTATTGCTTACTCATTTTTGTAATTATTTAATAACTGCTAAAAAATAGAACCGTTGAAAATCCTAGTGCTCGTAAAATGTTTGACCAATTATGAAGCAGAACTTCCAAAGAGGAGAGAATTAAAAGAAATACTAACTTTGACATGTTATTTGTGCCATTTTATTATATGATCAATGTCGACCTCGTTTTCTACTCGAATGACGTGGCTAATAGGTCCCTATTCCACGTGATTTATCTCTGGCAAACTTGGACAAACTGTTACAAGCACGTGGCCTTCTATGCAAGTGGGAGAGGTAGCTGCGAGCATTCCGTTGGTCAGTCAACTTGTAGGTATATTTGGGTGTGGGATGGACGAAGACATGAGTCACGTTACTGTACAGGCATGGGGGTAAAAAGAGAGAACAATTGAGAGAACAATATTACTATAGGAGTGTAAAATTGCATTACCTTCAAATAGCACCAAATGTAAATTTTTTATTGTAGAGGATAGGAATGGTTATCTTTGGATGAAAAGACAAGTGGCCTCATCTTATGGCTAAGGAGTTTTCTTCTAGATGTCACTCCATCAATCATAGATTCGGAAGCATTTAATGATTTTAAAAAGTAACCACCCTATGGCCTAGGTCTGACTTCTGAAAAGTAAACCGATAAATTGACTGTGAGGTTTCTATTTTTTACTGTAGAGATGTCACATCAATCAATTATAGAAGAGATCAAGGATCTCTTGAGATAGGTGAAGTGGGAGATGCCTTCTCACATAAGAGATTAATTGTGTCAGATTTACTCTACAGTAGGTTATAGAACCTCGCCTAGGTAATGAAGGGTCAACCTCTACATGGCACCTTGGTTGAGATGATGCATCACTTCAGTTACCTTAGTTATGACCTCGGCTAGGCGAAGTAGGATAGTGATATGGAGTGTGAGCCTGATGAGGATTGCTAATTGGCTGTCACGTGGTCGATACTTGAAGTCTCGTCAGTTGAGGCGTAACAATCAGCATCCATTGAGTTGCAGTAAAACTTTGTTTTGTTCCCCTTTCATTATTTTGTTTAACTTCCTCATGCTATCTCATCTCTAATTCGTAAATAGTAGATTCTTCCTCTTGGAAGTGCTGTGCATACAAAAGTAACTGTTAAATTTTCGTCTACATTTGCAGTGTGAAGACCATTTTATATTGTGTCATAGATTTTCTCAAATGACATTTCTGTGCAGGTCAGACAACTTGACCTTGGAGGCCTTAAATTCTGCTGTTCTTTTGAAGTTCAAGTCTATGAAACATATGCCGATTTGGAAATCTGAGAGACCCAAAGGCATATGGGGAGGGGATGAGCTCAGAATTTACAGAATATATCCTGTTGGAATGAAACAGAGACAAGCATTATATACCTTCAAATTCGAAGGAGATTCTGATTTCAGGAATTACATAGAGAGCAACCAATGTGCCAGCTTCGAAATCACATTCATATAGGTTGATGTCCTGATACATTTGGCTTGCATTCCTGGCTAATTGCAGCTTTCCTGACTAAATTCTGAGAAAAGGGATCTCGTCTGGGTTGATTGCTCGTCCCTTTTAACGTTCATTATTGTAGGAGTCCCAGTTGGCGCATAGCTCGTCTTTTCTCATCTAGTTGTCACGTTGTACTCATTATTTTTTCACTCTATATAATTCCATGTATAAAGGTGAAATAGGATATATTGCAAGTGCATAGTGTTAGCTCTTTTCTTACACGGGGGCATTCGGATTAGCAATGATATTGCTTGTCCCTTCTCAAAGTTCAGTGCCACTCTTTTTTTTATTTGTCATGCATTTCTGGTTAAATTATCTGAACTGGGCGCACACACGAAGATATTTTGAGTAATATTTAATCACATAAACCATTAGGGTAACAAATCCACTGCGGATGCATGAATCATTAATTATTCATTCTTGTCAATTCTTGCCCTAAATTGAAAATTAAATCATATATTATTAATATTCTCTCTCTTAGCTAAGCATAAATTATTTCTAATTAAATTGTGAACATTCATTTAGCTAGCAATTTCGTAGAGTATAATTATAAGTATCATCTATTATAAGACTCTACGTTGTTTATTATCATGTTTTAATATATGTCGAATCTCTTGAAAATAATACAAATTACAAATATTTTCTAGAATTTATGTTAGACAAACAGGTCTAAAAATATATTCAAAAACGGGGGGACACGTGTCCGAACATGGGTGGACGGTTTGAAAAATAAAATAAATCAAACACCAACCAGTAGTTGTCAAGTCATTTTGTCTTTTTGTTTCTTGTCTTTGGCAGTTGCTGGTTGGTGTTTGATTTTTTTTTATTTTTCAAATTGTCCAATTACATTTCGACACGTGTTCCTCCTGCTTTGAATCTGTTTGCATAGCATAATTATTTTTCTAATGATAATTAAAGGGATGTGGAAATCTCTTGTAGGGTCCCCGCCCCGTTCTATTCTCACTTGGGACGGAAAATCTCCTACAGGGCGAGGGCATGAAATAGGATCCCTTCTCGAACTCATTCCATTTCCGTCTGGATGTTGTGATTGCTTTGGCCCTCTATTAAGTTGTTTTTAGTTCACATAAATAGTTCTACTCTTTTTTCCTTCTTCGTCTTAATATATCACTAAGTAGTGTAAATCCTATTACGAAAATTTAATTCTCATTTTCGATCTCCATTCAACTCACATAGTAAGCCAGACGCTGGACATAAGGAAAAGTGAAAAATATGTACCTTAAATTATAAAGAAAATTTTAAATTATAATCTATTCACTAAGGGAATGTTTCTTTTAGACAAAATTCTAAGCTAATGTTTCTTTTCACTCCCACGGCCCTTTTCTGTACATTTTCTATTTGTCAGGAAAGATTATGGGGTGAAGCCCATGGACTGGTGGGTGCCTGATGAATCCGTTTGGCCCACTAGTAAAATGCATCAAACTTTCCTACGAGAAATTTTTTTTACTGGATCTTCGTCTTCTCCACCAGTCCACTCCCTCGATCTATACTTTCTCTCTCTCTCTACTGATTCTCCGTCCTGTCACTCTGCTTACCGAAAAATTCGTTACTATTCGGTTATTCAATTGTTGATGGTGATTGAATATGGATAGTAACTGAGGCTGGAATCGTGTAATGGACTCGATCTGGAAGCAGAATGCTGTCCCAAACGTATGGGATTTTGTTGTTACGTTATACTTCGCTCTCGGTTTCGCCGTCGCCAGGTTCTTGCTTGATAGATTCATCTTTCGCGTAAGTTCATTTTTAGTTGATTAATACTTTTTCAGTTTATATACTTACGCAATGTAAGATTTTATGCTGTTTAATCGAATTTTTTTGAGTTCATATTGAGAAATTGGGGATAGTTTGTTCATATTTCTACTATTTAGTAATTTTTTGTATTGATGCTTTAATACCTTGTTCGAAAGAAATGAATGAAAAATGAGTTAACGATGGTAAAATCTGAAAGCCGTAACTTGCTGCCCGTGACTTCAACGGAGTGAGCGTAAAAGAAGCAATAGCAAGAACCATTGTCCGGCCAGGTCTTTTAGGATTCATAATTTATTAGAACCTACATAATGCTATAGAATTTGGAACTACTAAATTCATGAAGTTGCTTGGATTGATTTGCCTAAATTGGTGGCGTGAATCGATAATTCAAATGATACTCTTTGGTGAACTGATAGGATTCAGTTTGATAAAATTTTATATATATTTTTTTTTGTTCATTGGGTGGGAGCGTCTAAAAGTTTTTTGAGTGCCAATACATCAGAATTAGACTAGTCAAAAAAGCAAAAAGGTATCATATTTCCATTAAGATTTTGTGATCTGACTTAATATTGAAAAGGATCTAAGGACTGGACGCTATTTGGTTACTTGATTAGAATTGACCATGTTAAGGAGGTAAACCTAGCATTTTTCTTTCTTTTTCCTGTGTTTTTGAAAACCTAAAAAAATAAAGTGCATAGCTTAGTTCTAGTGTAGCTCATTCAACTTGTTAAATGGTTTTGAAAAGTCTCATGATCGTTTTTACAATACTTTCTTTGCCTTTTGATCACATAATAAGATTCTGTTTTGAGAAGTTTTTATTTAACCCAAGGTTAGCAGTAAAATCATAAGTAATTAAATTTTGGAAAAATGATTGAGACGTCTGTTGCTTTCTTGAGCAGAGATAAAATGTGGCAGCCAACATTGAAAAAAAATTGCACCTTGTTTAGTTAAAAAGAAATTCCCCATTGCTCATAATAAGTAAGCCACCGGTTTTGGTGCAAGTTACTTCATTACCTTATGGACAATTAGGCATGCAACCAATTGCAAGAGCATAGCTCTACCAACTGAAACATGATTTTGTTGAATCCATATCCAGCTTCGGTAATAGTTAAAAGTAGATTTAAGCTAAAATTTTACACAAATAAAATCTAGATAACTTTGTCGAGTTGTTGTTGTAGAAGCGAGGTCAAGTTTATTTGGAATAGAGTAGTTTCCACTAAAACAAGATTACATTAGAAATATAGTATGAATGGAACCAATAATGAGGTCTAATTTTTGCTGATAGGAAAGCAACCACTGAAAAAGGGTAAAAATTCTTTTGGAAAATTGTCTCTTCCTTACTGTTGATTGCATCTGTTCCAGAGGTTGGCCATCTGGTTGTTGAGATGTGGAGATGATCTGCTGACGATTAATGAGGCTAAAAGAGCAAAAATTGTGAAATTTTCAGAGTCTATGTGGAAACTTACATACTATGCTACTGTTGAGTATTGTGTTTTATCAGTTAACTACCACGAGCCATGGTTCAGGGATATAAAGGAGTACTTTACAGGTTGGCCTAATCATGAGCTGAAGTAAGTGATAATACATTTCTTTAATATTGTCCCAATAGTTAATAAAATTGCTGTTCCTGCTGATGATGTCTTTGACATTGTGTAATTGGCTCTTTTATATTGCTTATAGCTTATTGCTAGATGAAAAAATTAGTTAAGCACGAGATCATAGGGAAACTCCAATAGAATATTTTAACATTTTATAAGAAACTTGGATTTTACACCATGTTATCATCATATAATTTTTTTGGTTAGTTGACCTAAAAAGAGTCCAGCCTTCATGATTTAACCCATTAATAATTTGGAGTGGAAAATGGATCCATGTTGCCTACCTGAAATAACTATAAGACAAGGTTTTGCTGAGTTGAGTAGAGATGATGTCCATCAAAAAGTAAATAATTGGTTTCCCATAATGATCTTTCCAATAATGCTATTACATTGGCCTGCATATTCTAGGTTTTGTCCATGATCTCTATGACCATCATGGTTCTACTGGCAGATAATTTTTTTAATCTTTTGAAAAATAGGATTAAGGACACAGAAGTATCCAAATCAATGAACTTTGAAATCATTATTCTTATATGGTTCTGAAGATGATATTATCAAGTTTATACTGTTACTTTAAGATATCGAATTTGTTTCCTTTTCAAATATAAATTCGAAGAACACTGCTGGGTCAGGCACTTTGGTTCTTTGACAACTAATTCAGAATGAAAACATGAAATATTAGCTCATGGACTTTACCGTTCCAACATTACTATCTCGATGTAATTTTTGCCATCTATTAGAACGGCCTATCACATGCAGACATTTTATTCCCGTGATTGCATCTTTGCAAGTTATTACCTGCAAAAAAAACTTTATATTTTAGGTTCATCTCGTTCGATTTAAGATGGTTCTGGTACACAAGTGATGAAACACTGATCCCATGCATGGTCAATCTCTTATTACTCGATGAGACTCCAGACTGGCCATTGATGCAACATCCTGTCTTTTTTGTTTTTTTTTTTTTTGGTCAATAACACTATAATCACATTGTTCAAAGTATTCAAACGAATAGACTACTAGTCTTGTACCCACATTTACCAATGCGTGCTAACAAGGCTGCCAAACTGCATTGTTGCGTGCCTTTTAGGACATACATGTATTGATGGTGTGCTGTATATTTAAACTTAGCTGTTGCATTATCCATTTCAGGCCTCCTTTGACCCTCATTTATATGTGCCAATGTGGCTTCTACATCTATAGCTCTGCTGCCCTCCTTACCTGGGAAACAAGGCGGAAGGATTTCTCTGTTATGATGTCTCATCATGTTGTCACTGTTATTCTGATTGCTTACTCATACATGGCAAGGTATCTTTTTGCTTCATCTGCTTCTTATTGTTGCTGGAAAATATTGAACTTCTGATGTGATTTTACAGATTAGTAAACGAAAGGAATGAGATAGGTCCTTGTATCATTCCTCTATATTAATCTGCCTCTCTGGTTCGAATTTTTCGCATCTAATCATCTTGACGTGAACTACTGTGAACAAACATGCAACTTTAAAATTATTTGAATATTTTTCCTATTCAAATTTTAATTGATACATATATTCGAACTAATAGAGTATATGGATGTTCATTCTATATAGGTTCTTTCGGGCAGGTGCAGTGATTCTTGCATTGCATGATGCAAGTGATGTATTTCTTGAAGCTGCTAAGGTTTTTAAATATTCTGAAAATGAGCTTGGAGCTAGTGTGTGCTTTGGATTGTTTGCCATTTCATGGTTTACACTAAGGCTGGTATTCTTTCCATTTTGGGTTATACGATCCTCAAGGTTAGTTTCAATTTTGATAATGTAAAAATACAACATTTGGTACCTCTCCTCTAATTGCAATTTTTTGGTTGCCATTCCCCAGCTACTACTTGTGCGAAGTCCTGAACCTGTCAGAGCCATATCACATGGCAATATATTATGTCTTCAATACAATGCTATTGATGCTGCTCGTTTTCCATGTTTATTGGTGGATTCTAATATGCTCAATGATCAGAAGACAACTGAAGAATAGAGGAAAAGTTGGAGAAGATATAAGATCAGGTAGGCATGGTATTGTGTTATTTCAAATTAATGTTTAATTGTTCCCTCCTTGGCTAATTTCCCCCTGATATATTGCTTTCATTTTTTCTTTTTTCTTTTTTTTTGGCGAGTTTGCTCGTCTCCGTGCGAAAACCATTCGGAAAAACCTTCATTTAATTTAAATATGCAGATTATAATTATGTCATTACAAGTTTTCCTCTTGCCAAAAAAGAAATGCCGAAAAATCTCTCAATTTCTTCTTCAGAGGAAATCCCTTTTGTGATGCAACATAATTGTGTAACTGAAGCCAATCAAAAGACATAAGAATGCAATATGCTCTTGGACATCGCATTTGTATATTTGCTACAAACTGACACCAGAATAGTATTTCTTGAACTCACATTTTTCTCATCTAGTGATGACTTTGATGCACAATTATAGAAATATTGCATCATGAGCAAAAGATTTGTTTATTTTTTTCCAAATCAAAAAGCATTTTTCTACATATATTTAATAACACTAAGCAATCCCTGTTACAGATTCGGAGGATGACGATTAGTCAGAAGATGATGCTCAAGTTCTTCTGTAAAGTAATTTTGCTTGGCGAAATTGCTTGTGATTTGAAGGTTCACTTCTGTTAGTGATTGGTTTTACCATGTAGGATAGATGGAACTCTCTACAATATTCCTAGTCCGTGTTTTCTTTTCCTAGTAGAGAAAAATGTAGGACTATCTAATATTTCACTGGTATATTGTGACTTTGATGTACAAATAATAGGTGCTTCCAAATCATGTCACCCAATGTAATATTATTGTCACAATAAAATTGTGGTAGCATCATTTTTTCCATAGGCAATTTCTAGGAAAACACAGAGAGGAAAAAGTGAAAGGAAAATGTCA